CACCTCACCCTCAAAATTTAGAATGCAGAGGGCTAGTAGCGAAACAACCGCACCATTGGAAACCTTAAAGGGATAACGCACGATAATGTGGTCTTTCCAAAATGGTAGGGCGGGTGCCGTATAGTGGGAAAAATGGCGAAAAAGCGAAGCGACGGACGAAAACCTGCGAAGAAAAGCTGTCGATCTTGATGACTCAAAAAGCGATTTCGGACGAGTTTCCCGTAGGCATCTTGCCAATAACCGCTAAGGTACGCACGGCTGCATGCATGTACTCACATATGCATGCGGCACCGCATCCGCTTCATGGCTCCTTTGAGACAAGATTAAGGTTGCTGCAGTCCGGCAATTGAACTCACAGGCAGAGCCCGCGTTTGCTTGATGTTCCCACGCCCTTTCTGGATATCATAGCCCTCCCTATAAGGATGCAGTATGTACTAGTTTTGCATCTCAAAAGGCGAGAGGATAGCGCCATCGCTAGTGAAGAGTCGGCCGCCCCGCCCACCTGGCGACCACAACGCCCATCTTCATTTCTAATGGTTGCCGGATGGTGCGTTGTTCTGCTGCTAACTCTCTCCACTTCGAATGTGAGAATAAGGTGATAAGGGAAACAGCTGATACCAACAAGTGAGAACTCGTGCAACCACTCCTCTTCGCCTTAAGCACGTACAACCGCTATTCGGTATGAAACTCCTTATAGGGCATTTTGCATGTTTTCTTTTTGATTTTTCTTCACTATATTACCTGCTACCTCGTTATTACTATCTGATTCGCATAGTCATCAAATTTGAACGCGGGCTCAGCCTTTACATGCCACCAACTAGAAAATCATCGTAATTTCAGGTGGAGGGTACTAGGATAGACATATTGCGAAATTTAAATATCGAGCGGTTTTCTCAAGATGAATTCACGAAATAATATGTCCAGATTGCTAGTTCTTTCGAAGTAGTCCTGTCGCGAAGAGCTAATGCGTGCAGAGCTCGTTAGGCCCCTCTTATCGCCCATATCTCCACATTTGGAAGCTGCTGGTCGCTAGGTCGACACCTGTACTTCCCTATCCCTCGACGCTGCTGGTCGCTGATGGACGCTCCTGGAGGCCTGTGGGGGATGCGGGAAACCTTGAGCGCGCGTTAAATGTTCTGAAAATGAATACCAATGTTCTCGGCTAGTTGCACTTATTTTAAGATTCTAACACATTCTGGTGGAGGAACGGGGAGGGCGGTCACGTGACGGCTCCTTCACTTCCCTTTTCTGCTCCAAGGCTTATAAGATTAATGATTATACGTCACTTCTCACCCAACATTTTCTTCCTTTCCTTTTTCACATTCCCTTCGTTATTCCCTATCCACTGAGAAGCCTCACGGGAGTAACGACGATAGTGGTTCACCTGGATGAGGGGCGAAACGAACTTTGAACACCACTGCACTTTGAACTTTATTCTTTATGGGATTCTTTTTTCTTTTATATTAGACCAAATGAGAGGATACGACAGGAATGGCGCAGTTTATTTCGCAAAGCAGATATAGACGAATACCGACTGCCCACATCTTACCAGGGAAGTCCGCCAACTTACCATGGAACTTTGAATGGAGACCTGGGTAGATCGATAGAGTCTATAAGGTTATTTACAAATATAGATAGCAAAACTGCAACCTGCATTTCACAAGCAACTTATGAGCAGGTAAAGTTTGTAATGGTGCAGTAGGGGAGGCTTGGTGGTGAGCTGTGAAGCATAAGCGAGGAATCGCATACGTCGAATCGAGTCGTCGAACGTCGAACCTTACCACTGAACCACCACGACTCGATTCGACGTATGCGATTCCTCGCTTATGCTTCACAGCTCACCACCAAGCCTCCACCCTACTGCACCATTACAAACTTTACCTGCTCATAAGTTGCTTGTGAAATGCAGGTTGCAGTTTGCTATCTTTGTAATGTAACCTTATAGACTCTATCAATCTACCCAGGTCTCCATTCAAAATTCCATGGTAAGTTGGCGGACTTCCGGTTAGTGCCTTACTGTCCATTTACACTTTGAGCAGTAAAGCATTAACAGGAAAGGAAAAAAGGGAGGCGCTCAAACTCAAGCCATTGCCGGCATCACTACCCTTACGAGTGCTGCTGGCAGAACAGCACAACAAATTTTTCTTTTTAGGTGTTCAATGCTCCCTTCGATTTCGACCATGTCACATATCACATGACAATCATGAACAACACTATTCATCCGCTCGCATTCGCTATCAAAGGTAGGTCGTTTATGGTAATTTTTTGGGAAGCAATTTGCATCTTCATGATCTGCATTATATTTGCCATCTGCGAAGTAAACGCGATGGAATGGCGTTGCGCACCCATGTGAAAGGGCAGATGAGTACCTCAGTCGAAAACGGTATCAAGGATTTACGGACTCGGAGGAACAAGGGCTCTTCCTAGTCCGATGTATTCCTAGAATCTTGTTATTTCGATGGCGTAACAGGAACAAGGCAGGAAGGAATGACCGGGTTTTGACTGAAGAAGGTGGAAACACTGGTCTATCATAGGACGGTGCTTTTAGTCTGTCAGATTATTATCCGACTATCAGTTTAAACTATCGTACCGCAAACTGGTTTCAGCCATACGTCATAATAGATGCTGACGTTAACCGTAAATCGCCGTAGATACTTCGAGGTGGAGATAGTTCTAACACTACAGTTAGGAAAAAGGACTGTTGCTATGCTGCTCTCTTTTGTCCTGGACCCTGCCTCGGATGGTGTGGAGTAGCTGCTGAAGCCGCGCCTTGGAGTATTTGAAGTATTGACGAAGTATTGAGTCAATGCTCCGGTTCCAATGCTGTTTAGCAGGGCGCTTCCAGTTTGTATCACTTCAGCATAGCTCAAGGAGATTCGTTCGTATCGATCTTTCTGAACCCTATGAAAACTTTTGCTTGAATGGCCAAAAATTAATTACGCTTATAAGACACAGCTTTTCACCATCTCTGCGTGGAAGCGTAGTGCATGGCGCACGTTTGGACAAAATGGATCGATGATAACAAAACTAAGCTATGCTTTCACTCAGCCCAACGGTAATATGTGTTTTGAGGGCACAGTAAGATTCTCGAATGAGGATTCCTACAATGGCAAAGAAGGAGTCGAGCTTTTGGCTGGCTCAGAGTTTCACCAATCAATAAGGAACTTATCCAAAATATTCTCTAGGCTAGCGAGTCTTTAGGAAAGTTGCGGCGAAAGAGGAAATAGTGCGCATAGTTTTTCGGATCATAAAAACTTACGTGTGGCTTGCCATTAACCCATCCAAAAGTGAATTTTGACATTTACTCTTTATTTAATCCAGAGGTTCGGTTGAAAAATTTGGTGAGAGGGGAGAGAAGAAAGACAAGATATGAAGATCACCTTCAGAGCTCATTATCTCTAGATCTCATCTAACCCTCTCGATACGGCTAGAGGGAGCCATTCCATGCGGATGTTACAGTCACGTCATCAGCTAGGACTCTTTGAAAGGAAAGAGGTGGTGAAGAGCCTCGGATTCTTGAGTGTGACTGACGTGCCTGGTAATAATCCTGGAGAAACTTATGTCCCTCATGCTCTGAATACGTAATATCGCGAGGTCTGAAATAGTTCTAGAAGGTTGTACGAATCCGCCCAAGCGAGGCGGACCGTGACGGGCTAGCGAACAAAGGTTCCCACGGATTTCGCTTGAAAGTCGCTTATCGAAATTCAGAAGCTTAGGCCCGGACAGATTCACCCTAGAACGAGTTCCTCGAGATCGACAGGGTAGAACTCTCTTCACCCAATGCTGGATCCTCTTGTGGTCTCTCTGACACAAGTTTGAAAAAAAGCTGAGGGTAATGAGAATTCAGGTAATTGCATACCTCGTGTCCTCGCATATCCGCCATATGGTGTTCTAAGGAGCAAAGAGAAGATCCAAGTCGCCATAACTATGAACGTAAGTTTGTTGGAGAAGTAATGAAGCTCTAATTCGAATACATTTACGCTAACAAGCAGGGCCCTCACGCATCTTAGAGCATCTCTTCACAACTGTTTCTGCATACTCACAGAGGAACATGTAGTTAACCAAGGAGCGCACAACTGAATTCGTGTTTCCTTCGCGCTCTGGCCAGTACTGGAGAAGAGTGGAGAGCTCACTCGGCAGGGGTCATTCAAACCATACTCCTGAACACTAATTCCTATAAATTGTGTTTCACTACCATTATTATGCTATGAGCAGGACCATTAGCCGTGTATGATTACTGGCAAGTCAAACTCAATTTAGACCACACATTGATAAGCACCTCTTGAGTTGATACCGCAGGGATAATCGCGCCTATGTAATTAAGTCTGTACCTCAAATATTTCTGTTGAGTGATCCTTCCTTACCATGATCGTGAGTGCAGCCACTGCCACCCTAGGCTGGTGCACATACAGTATCTGAGCGTCGCCCACATGTATCAATTTCCTGTACAAAATGTTTGGCTACCCACCTTCTTTTCGCGTGTGCTGCGGTGTGCTCTCTTGTCTGATCTCTCACCCGCGCTGTCAACGTCCTTGCGTCTTCATACACTGGATGTTCAACAGATACCAGTTGGGCCCTATGTGAAGCATTTCTGCCTGTTCCTCTGATTTTTTTTTCCGGTTGATTTTCTCTTCTTCTTTGATTCCTTCCACATACGCAACCGCACTCCATTTACTGCGACCTGCTTCGCGGGGTGTGTCTCCAAATGACTCAACTATTCTCAGCAAAGGACGTGCAATTCCCTGAGAGCACCGTAGATGGGAAATGAGCGTACTTCTACACCCAACTACAGCGTTCTCTTCTAACAAGAGAATAAACCTCTTCTCCATTTTTCATGCTCTGACATTTTCCAGAAATTCGATCACGACAGTATGGGTGCCAAGGACCGTATTGTATATGAATGGGTGCTGCTAAGGCGATTTGAACAAAATTTCAGGCCTGACATGCTTAAGGTGAGGGGTTCAATATACACATTCATTCCAAGCGAAATTGTTCTCCTGTCATTTCATTAGTTTCGTAATTTCATTAAAATAACAGTAAATGCCATCACGCCATCAGTGCAATAACAGTAACAGTAATTTTGAAATATGCCCTATTCACTACATATGGTCTTCTGACAGCGTACAGGTGGATCATAAATGTCTATCTCCCTGGCTGGCTGGGTCTCGAAGATTGTCTCTAGCTTTTTTCGATGCCATCACGTCTTTTGAAGTCTTCAAGGGGCGTTCGAAATGATAGTCGGTTGTAAGATGAGAACAGCAAGGTGTGTAGAGAACGGTGACAGTTGTTCCGCACGTCGACAGCCACTCACTTTTCCTCGTTCTTCCAATGTGTGGTATATCGTTTTCGTGCCAGATGTAATATTGGTCTGCTGTTTAACAAGTAGTTAGATGGGTCTTCTTCAGCTTTCGTAGCTGAGTAATGCGAACGTTTGCTGTCACTGTCGTTCCCTCGTCTAGATTCTCTCAGTACCCACGCTACACTACATGCACACCACCACATTTTTCCCAAGAAATTTGGGTTTTGGCACGTCTTCACCTTCTGCTTCGCAATCCACTGAACATCGCGGTATGCGTCGGGGTAGAGTATTCACTTTTCATCTCCCGTGACAAGGTTGTGGGGTTGTGGCGTGCGCTTTAGAGTTATTTAGAAGACTGGTCGCCATGTTTACCTTGCGATCCACTTGGTTTCCTAGCAATGCCAAATCTAGCGGCACTGGGCGCCAAAGCCTGTTTCTCCCTCGACATAGAAGTCGCTCGTCTTGAACCAGCCGAACTGGCGGTAGATAGGTAGGCGGGCGACTAAGGCGCTTTGCTTACACTCCCTATCTTTGAGCCATAGTAGGCGTGGCATTTGAGCATGGCACATAACTGGTTACTCGTGAAATATTTCAGTCCGGGACAACTGTCATATTGTTTCGGGTTGGGAGAGCAGGCAGCGACACGACAATCAATGTCAGGCGTGGAAACTATCTCACCAGCCTTCAGGATAAGTATGAAACATCGCAGGGCAACGCCTACACGATCTCAGGGATTTCTAGTATACCTCAAGAGTCGTACCTCATTGCTATATGATATGCAAAGTGTTTTTGTGTGCAATCTGAATTCCATTCGCACAAGCCCTTTTTGTACCACTCATCAGTTGACACGGCATCCATTTCAAGATTAGTTCCAAAATGAGTATAGATGTTGAGCAATGGCCAGTTCAGAACATCCAGAAGAGATCACAAGCTCTTTGTCAACTGAATTGCATCGGATAAGCGTGGCTTAGCCTTTAACGTCAAGAATCAGCGGTTTTCTTTTCCGTGTACTTCGCCGGTTCAAGGCCGTTCGTGCCATTGTGGAATTGCAATAAGCCGCTGACAAGACTAGCATGGAGATTGATTCACATTCTTACCTCACTGAAAACTGTTTGAGGAAACAGTCATGCTATACGTCACATTAATCTCTAACTTGGGAAATCTCCTTCACTGAAAATTTATTGATCTTACACAAGTAAACCGCGAAAAAAGCTAAAGGTGCGACTGGAAAAATATGGTTCTCTTAACGCGATGATCAGAATTTTTTTCTGATCAACCGAATGACTTCCCACACCGCTCAGCCTCTTAGGACGACTGTCGTGGTTCAGGAGGCGGTCACCCCTGAAAACCCTCCAATACGACATATCCCAGTGGTTCAGAGCCCTTGCGATTCCCATTCTACGTCTCACGTCATCCTATGGGTCATCGGAGACTACTGGTCTCCCCCAATGCAATTTCCGCTCCCGGAGGGGATCTGCGAGTTATTAATTGGAGGGAGGGGGAGGGGGTGTGGGCGAGAAGGAGTATGCGGCAAGAGCGGTAAGACCCAGTGGTTGGTCTACCCCTGATCCACCTTAGCCAGCCAGCCCAGGGATTCCTGACAGCCTGCACACACAACCCGGGCTCCGTTCAGCATTGTCGCGGCCATTGCCGACCCTTTAATTGGGCCTTCCACACTGCAGCATAATGTAAGAAATACTCATGTTTATTGCGGGAAGAAAGGCTATCCAGTCAATACTACTGCTTACATCTACTGGTGGAATGACCATCATCGATACATCCGTCGCTTGGTGACGTTAACGTTAGTGTGGTAAGTGGCGCGCAATACCGAGCGTACCTGTCCACAGTCGCTCCAGCCGGTTTCGCTTTTAGCTGGTGCAGGATCTTTTCCTCCTCCCAGCGGGAGAGAAGAGTCAGAAAAGAAGTTGGTGAGCTTCAGAAAAGCCAGGACTCTCTCCGCCGGTCGCTTTTGTACTTGCGGCCCGACGCAACATGGTTTATTGTTCGACGTGTAGCGAGTGTCTGTCGTGGAGCACGACAGGATCCAGGCGCAGTCGTGTACCACCTGGCATAACGACTATGTGCTCGGAAAAGTGAAAATTTAAAGACAGCTCCCGCGATAAAAGTCTCATGGATAGCTGCTTTCCAATTATGAAACAGCAGCTGATAAGTAATCTCCCAAAGAAGAAAACAGGCAAGAAGTTCTCCAGAACAACATAAACAAAATCGCTCCCTCACAGTTACACCTCCCTGCGGTCTCTGTGCAGCCCCTAGCTCACAAGTCTCTATCACATCTCGCAGTAGTTGATATCATCCAGTGCAAAAGAAAGAATACAAAAAGAAAACAACAAAAACGCAGAGGAAAAACTCTGGGAAGGAAAAAGGAATTTTATCAACACGGTGTCTGAATTTGTGATTACGGTAGCGCACCTTTTGTGCGTCGTGGTCTTGCACCACGAAAATTGCGTCACTCGTCTTTTACGCGTTTCACCTCGCGCAAATGGGTTGAATTGAATGTATATACCTCCAATGAGTAAACTGTAATGAAGGAGAGCAGAATTATCCAGGGGCATTAGCAATGCCCGCCGTCCCAACTAAGAACAAGTGAGTGGCCTCCGTCGGAGGACATCTAGCAAGTGAAGGCGGTCCGACTGAGGAGGAGTCAGAACTAGCACTTTGAGCGGCTATAGCAGCCTCCACGCTCACAATAGAGTCGCGAAAGGTGAACAGACTTCTAGCTTGGAGGCTAG